GAGTAGCGTTTATGAATTTCCAAAAAAAAAATTAACCACTCTAATATACATAACTACATACAAATGCAATGATAAGCTGAAAAATAAAACCCTATATTCAGAAAATGTGAACTTGTCGCCTGGAAAGTAGTCGATCAAATAAATTTAAATATGCTGATTTAAGGTGTATAGAAGATATTGAATGCTTAAGAATTTATTAGTGCCTCAAAAGGCGTGAGCTATTTGCCGTAAAAATATATGTTTGTATAGTTAAATAAACATACGAAAAATTGGTTTCTCACCTAAATCACCAAAGTATATTTAAAAAAGATGTAATTTGTTATGAACTAACAAATTCGCATACCCGTAAAATGTATGAATAAAAATACTTATATTTGGACTACGTTTAAGTCTTAAAAATATTTTGGCTACCTTCTTTACATCTTGGTAAAAGGTTTGGTCCACAAAAAATGAGAGTGGCAACCGTGCCTTTACCTTTCACGCGCATGTTGGTGTCGATTCAAATGTACACTTTCATATACAAACTGAAACATTCAAATGATGAACTTTTATCTATATTTATTTTTAGATTCGAAATTTCTGTACAATGATGACTAATTTATTTACAGAAAACTAAGTTGTCAAAATTAAAGCTTTTGCATTCTAAAGTTCGCTCAATTGATTACTTTAATTTATAAACTCGGTTTTATCAACATATTTTCTAAGTATTGATATACATATGTACTTAAGTACTTGGGGAATACTACAATAAATTTGCTGGCATTTGCTTTATCGATTTTTTTAAATAGATACATGAGCATTTTGGTTTAGCTGTTATCTGCTATTTGCAGCATTCACTCATCAGCCGTATGTGAGCTTCTGATCGTCTACGGGTAGATTCCTGCCATTTTTTTAACAACGTACTCTTTAAGCGCATGCGCGAAATAATCAAATATTGAGCAATATTTTTAAACGCTCTCTAAGCAAACGTTCTGGTGTGCTTAAAAGCTAAAAGCTCGATCCGTCGCACACTTCTTCACCGCAATCCATTTTTGGGTGAATGAAATTTGACGCTGGTCATTTAATTTTTGCCTGTCGCTATTGCCACAACGTCTACATGGTAGTTGCGTTCCCCAACTTTTCTGGGTTGAAACCAGTAATACTGTGAAAAGGCAAAAGAAGCCAGAGAACCGAGTACAGGAACGCTTTCTGGTAAATTCCTGAAAATTCTTGCAAGTTAGGGAACGCAACTGGTATTTCAGAACGCCACATAAATCAATTATTGTGCACTGTTTCGCAAGCGCGTTTCATGATTTTCGTTGCCTAGCGCGATGTAGTTGCAGAGCGAGATTTAATAGGTGTATGTATGTACATACATAAATTCCCATTGCCTTGAAAATTATGAAACAAAAATTAAATCCCGCCATTTTTTCCGAATTGCTTGCGATTTTGAAAATTCTAAGTATGCAAGGCTTCAAATTTAGCCAACGTTTATATTCAACTAATAAGACTTACATTAGCGCATATTAAAATATAAAAAAAACGCTGTCAAATGCATATGAAGGCATGTGCAAGTGTAAACCCGCAAGCACGCAAACATACATATGTATATTTTCAGATATTTTTAATAAATATGTATATTAAAAATAGAAATTATTTTCAATTAAATTATCTCAGGTGTTTTGTAAGTATTCAAAGGAAACATTGTTGGCATTTGCATTGGAAAATTCTTACAAATGCTATATTTTTATTAAAGAGCTCTAGCTGATTTAAAATTCTAGTCAACCGAATGTAAAGCGTTTTTTTTAAACTAATACGTATGACAGGACACATAATGAATAAATTTGATTATTTATCCATTTGTCCACATAGTGCATTATTTATGTACATTCAAAAAGGTGCAAAAATCCTAAAAATTTGGGGTGCTAAGCCATTTATTTATGTTACTATACTCCCAAACACTTCCGAATTTTACTCTACACATGTGCATTTCTAATAAAGAAGCATATCTGAAGGTAAACGTACGCAATTGTGTCTGTTGTTATCAGTACAACCTGTATTTGATTGTTTATTTCTGATTGTGTACATACATTTGTATATACTAGTATCGCCCAGTTGTCGAAATTCGACATCTTTTTTCATACACTTTTGAATTTTACCTGTCACCAATACTAAGTCCTTTATGCGAATCACTATTTTGAAGTCCACCAGCATAATTTATAGCGAATTTATAGGAAAAAATTGAATTACGAGCGTTAATACCGGATTGATTAATGCTAATTCTACCAAGTCTCCTCCTCAGTAGCTTTTGGAAATAGACCGAAAAAGGAACCTCGATTTTCATTTATAAAAAATATGTATATGTATGTATAGATGAGATGTTCGTCACTGAATAATATGTCAAACAATTCAGACTATAAATAAGCCCGTAAGTACGGTATTGACAACATATGTTGCTGTGTCAAATTTTAGGACGTCAGCATAAGCGGTTACAGAGATAAGCGATATGAGAATTTCAGTTTGTATGGGCGGTGCCACGCCCCCTTTCCCATTATCTAGCACTCTTCGCCGTAAGTACGGTATTAAAAACATATGTTGCTGTGTCAATTTTCGGGACGTTAGCATAAGCGGTTGTAGAGATAAGCGATATGAGAATTTCAGTTTGTATGGGCAGTGCCACGCCCCCCTTTCCAAAATCTACCAGTCTTCGCCGTAAGTACGGTATTGACAACATATGTTGCTGTGTCAAATTTTAGGACATCAGCATAAGCGGTTCCAGAGATAAGCGATATGAGAATTTCAATTTGTATGGACGGTGCCACGCCCCCTTTTCCCAAATCTACCACTTTTCGCCGAAAGTACGGTATTGACAACATATGTTGCTGTGTCAATTTTCGGGAAGTTAGCATAAGCGGTTGTAGAGATAAGCGATATGAGAATTTCAGTTTGTATGGGCAGTGCCACGCCCCTCTTTTCAAAATCTACCAGTCTTCGCCGTTAGTACGGTATTGACAACATATGTTGCTGTGTCAAATTTTAGGACATCAGCATAAGCGGTTCCAGAGATAAGCGATATGAGAATTTCAATTTGTATGGACGGTGCCACGCCCCCTTTTCCCAAATCTACCACTTTTCGCCGAAAGTACGGTATTGACAACATATGTTGCTGTGTCAAATTTTAGGACATCAGCATAAGCGGTTCCAGAGATAAGCGATATGAGAATTGCAGTTTGTATGGGCGGTGCCACGCCCCCTTTTCCAAAATCTACCAATTTGCGCCGTAAGTACGGTGTTTATAGCATATTTTGCGGTGTCAAATTTCAGGACGTTAACATAAGTGGTTCCAGAGATAAGCGATATCAGAATTTCAGTTTGTCTAGGAGGTGCCCCGCCCTCTTTCCCTGTACCTACCATTTTTCACCATAAGTAGGGTATTTACAATCTATGCATCTGTGCTAAGTTTCAGTTCTCCAGCATAATAAGTTTTAGAGATATAGTGGTTTTCACATTTTAGTCTATATGTCAGATGTCACGCCCCTTATATATCGGGATTTACATTTCTGGATTAGATGAAGTTATATCCTTTAAATCGGTGTATGTTTCATTGAAATCGAGCGAACGGTGCCTTCAGAAAAGGGATTGCAAAATTTTCTTGTGGCGTATTTATATATAGATATATACATATATATATGTATATATATATATATATATATATACGTAAATACATAGAGCAAGGATTTGATATGAATTATTTTTTCAAGTTTACAGGTGAGGGCAGTGCCCCGACTGTCTAATTTATCGTAAACCTTTTTTAAGGTTTCAGCAAGTGTAACAGTGAGTACAATATGTACAATAAGTACATTAAAAGTTTTAATTTTAAGATCTTAAAATCAAACCTAAATTTAGTAGGTTTACTGACTAATGAATGCTAAATGCAATCCTCAGCAAATAAATTAGTAGCTAATGAGATATATGACATTCAAATTAAGTATGTATTGGGTAAGTTAAATACAACTAAAAAATTTTAACTGATTTCCCTGCCTTTTACATGCAAATGCATATACAAATCGTCACCTGAAATGCAAAATGTCGTAACGACAGCGTCACTGAAATGGAAAAAGTGACAATTTATTTTTTGTTTCATAAAAGGATGTGGGGAGTTGTAATTCTATGAAATAGCAATCAAAAAGTGAATTTTGAATTTTTTTTTACGACTTTTTGCATATCAGTGACGAAGTTGTTACGTTATTTTGCATTGTGATTGTGATTGATTGTGACTCATGTACTCAAAGTATACTGCGAAAAATATTTGCATTCAATGCTAATAATAATCAAAGGAAAGAATGCTTGGACCGAGACTTGTTTTTTGAAGGTAGCTCTGAAAAAGTCATAAGTGAAAAATTAAAATTAGTGAGTACTTTTGAGATTTTTAATTTTGATTTCAATAAGTAAGAGTCCCAAACACTTGAATATTCATTTACGTGTCGTGTTGAAATCTATTTTTAAAAATAAAAAGCTCTTCTCGTTATACTTTATCGGAATCGAAACACAAAAACTAAGAATATTTCTAAACTCATACATATGCAAAAATATATGTACGTATATATGTGTTGAACAAATGTATGTACGTATGCATATGTTTGCATACCATTGTATAAAAGTACGTATATATATAGGTACAAATGGATGGACGTACGAAATAACATTAAAGACATTTTTTAAACATACATATATCTATCGCAAGACAATATTTCAAAAACGATTCAAATGCATACCCAGAAATTTTAAAATATGGTATCATAAAAAGTAGTATTAGTAGAAAAATAGCGAACTAATTTTACTTGCTTGTATGTTGCAAAATCTATTTAAAAAATTTTGCGGCTATTTATAGAAGAGCGGTCATAGTTAAAAAAATTAAGAAAATTTTCTAACGACAGAGAAGAAAGATTTAATTTCAAATTGAATCGGTAAATATGGCTTTTTAATCTTAAACAAATTTTAATAAGTGTCAAGTCTCTTACCTTCTTCTGTTGCTTTTCCCACGCGGGGTCAAGAAGTCCTTCGCGCTCCCATTCTTCTTCTTGCTCCATATAGCCGTCTCCATACTCCATGGAGAGTCCATTCTCCATCATCATGTTGTTGGTTGCAGTTTTTATCAGTTATTTATTATCCGTTAAATTTCGTTTCGGAGATTTGTTTACAATAATTAATTTATATCTTTTATAAATTTTTAGTTTGTTCCAATATGCAAAATCATGTGAAATGGTTAATTTAATTTGAAGATTTTAAGGATGAGTGAGGGCGTTATTAAAGTACTTTAATTCGTTCGGAGTATTCTTAAAATTAAATCTGAAATCCCAAACAAAAAAAATAAGTACTACATATTTTCATATTTTTATAAACACTATAATATACAAATGTATGCACATATGTACATATGTTGCACTTAATTTTATTCTACAATTGCTTATTAAGTAAATCACATCATATAGACATCATATCCGTTTAAATATTTGTACACACTTGTCAGGTACTTTAGGCAAAATTTCAGTTTTTCATCAATATGAAAAGATTTAACAATGCTTAAGTTGTATAACACTCGATAAAAATAGTTCCTCTTTTCTGATTTAGTTTTCTTTATTTTCTTTTCATTTTGGTTTTAAACATACATGCATAAACATCTGTACGGACATACATATGTATGTATGTATGTGTGTTTTTAATTATATATATACATATATCTACGTATGTATACAATATAACGTTTTTTCTTCAATTTTTAATATCCACTAAGACTTTCTATATATCAGCAAAAAAATAAGTGAAATTAAAAATAATAATAATAAACACCGTGTCTAATAAGTACGTGTCGCTTGAAGAGAGAATGACCCGCTCGCGTTGGTAGCCAACTCAAAACTAATGCTGCGCCAGTGATCAGCGGTTGGACAAACTGACTCCCAAAGCAATGAAAAATGTGCTGCATTCGCATGGTTATCTTGCCGATGCTCAATAATACTCGTTCTACCAATTGTACACACGAATTTTTATATACACCTTTGTTTGTCAAAATCAGGGTTGCCAATGAAGAAAAAAAATATTTACCATCCACTTGGAAAAATCTACCATATCTGGAAAATATCTACCAATAATCTTTTTTTACATGGTGACATGGTATTTGAGATCATATTAATGGCATCTTGGCGGTTTTCTTAAACCAAAAGCGAAAGTGATGAAACTAAAGGCAACAACGAAACTTCATTATTAAAAAACTTGAATTGGAGTTATTACAAGATAATACAGTGACTCAAAAAAGCGCCTGGTATTTTTTTAAATATTTTAAGAAAACATTTTTTTGCTCTTTTTTATAAGAAAATTGTTTGCGCTTTAACCAAACGCATAAAAATCAAGGACGTTTACAACATTGCGAAAAAATCAAAAATATTTCGTCTAAATTTCGGACTTTTTACCCTGAATGTTTAGAACCATTTTCGGTGTGCGGTTTTCTAGTCCATGGAATTGTAGTATAACCAACAATGTGCAGCTAAAAACTCCATTTGATTCAAAAAATATATTTGTCGGAGGTCTTTTGTGTTTTACTTTTCATTCGACATTTATAAAAACTGGTGGTGATTTTATAATTTTTTTTTTGTACAATCATAGCGTGTAAGTACAAGCCTGTCCATTTCTTCTTTTTTTTATAGAAACATTTAAAATGTTCAAAAGCTCCTAAAGATTTCAGTAAAATGAGTTTTTAATGGAGCACGATTTGTTCGCGTTTTATCGATATACATACTCACATATGTATGTATGTACGTATATAAAAAGTGTGCATTAATCGTTCGAAAATTAATGCAATAAAGAAGACTACACTTTTGGAAATAAAATAAACAATTTTGGTAATAATTTACCAAAGAGGCAACTCTGGTCAAAATGTAAATTCTTACATATATTCATAGCAATGTATCTAAATACATATGCACATATGCATGCTTATTTCCAAGTAAACAAACGGTACAGCGAGTAGTACACCAATACATAATATGTTTATATGTACATATGTAGGTACATATGTACATATATATATAATAATATTAAGTATTTTAAACAAAAAGTATCGGAGCAGAATATTTTTTTATCTTTGCCAATACATACATACATACATATGTGTGCTTATATCATTATCTGAAAATACATTGTCGAATTTGAGTGCGTGGGCGGCGGAATTAATTCGAAATTAAAGAATTATGCTAATCTTTTCGGAAACATAAAAGAGATAAGTCTCACTAAAAAATGTACATAGTATGTATTCGATATTTGTAATGTACACAATAAATATGCATGTAAGTATGCCATGAGAACGCAACGATTCGCTAAACAAGTTCAAGAGATTTACTCTAAGGCTCTCCGTTTCTCTTTTGGGAAATGAAAATGTACAGGAGAGAATTGGCAATCAAGTGATGTACTTGGAAATGTACAATATGTATCATACTTGATATTTTAGGTACAATAATACCTTAGGTATAACTAGTGAACCCGCGTGGCGATAAAACGCCAAAATTGAATTAAACTTTTTAAACAGGTAAAATCCTATTCAAAAGCCTCAAAAAGTATTCGTAATGATTCATCTAACCCATTTCTGAGTGATGAGAGGTTTTGTCTAACTACAAAACCTTATGGCGGTGACCATCCGTCCAGTATTATACGGGACAGTCCTTTTTTTTGGCCCATTGTCCTGGTAATTTATTTATGTTATACGGGACGCCAAATGTTCTGTATTTCTTTTAATGTCCTGTATTTGCCCCGTACTCGGTGTTTCGACGCCTTAACAGCTCATTAAAATGCCATACCTATGAACGAGTTCTAAGTGATGTTGTTATATGATCCTAATTTTCTCCATAACCAGTTATTATTTTCTAATCTGAATGCCTGTGATTCGAATCGAGGAATACATACATTGACCAAAATAGAAATTATGACTCGACATTTTAGTAAGTTTTGGCTATCTTTCCTTAGTTTGTTTAATGTTTATTATTTATTTTATGAAAGTAAAGCTCTTTTCCTAACAAAAACCATATATGTAATACCAAATTTCCAACTTTGCGCAAAAACTATAAAAATTAATTTAAATTAAAAATTAAAAAAAATTGGTTGCAGTTTCGTAACTCATTAAAATTTAGTATTATAAAGTGCGAGTGGAAAGTGCTGCTCATTTGCTTTGCTTCTTTTTCAAAAAAATGGTCGAACATACTTACTTTGTATGAACAAAATGCTTAACAATTGCTCAACAAAAAAAAAATCCAAACATTTATGGTAAGTATTATACTAAAATTTATTTTTAACAAATTTTACGGGGTAAAAATCTCAAGAAAATTGCCCTACAAATTTGTGATGTTACTATAAGGATACTGTTTCAGTGCTAATATATCTAGGATCATTGAAGAAGGCTTTAAGATCTGTAAGCCGTTGTGGAACAAATTTGAAAAATAGTTTTTTGTCCCGTATTCGGCTCTCATAAATATGGTCACCGTACTTATGGCGCATCTATGTAGAATCCCAGTTCTTTAATTTGACTTCTCATTTTGAAATTCGGTGCAGATCTGACGACCTTCAAAAAATAGGTAGCAACCCTAATTAAAAATATAATCAGCCTAAAGTTTTCTTAAAACTCTTTCGTTTGACACTTACGGTTGCCAGACGTACTGATTTTTCAACTCTTGTACTGATTTTATTAATTTCTTCAATCAGTACGCTAATGTCCTGATTTTTCAAAATTTGTACTGATTTGTACTGAATTTTCAATTCAAACACAATACTTTAGGATTTTCTTAAGGTTTTTACATAACGTTGTAATGTAAAAAGTTAAAAAGTAAGAAGAAAATAATTTAATTATAGTTGACATATTTCAGATAATGTTTCATATGCCAAAGAAAATAATACAACCAAAAGTTCAATCGTTTTATGGGCATTTCGCCGGGTCGTTACGTGCCAGTTGCGATAATATGGTGGAGCTTAAATTATTTAAAAAGAAGGCTGATGTTTTTTTGTCGAGTGTTGCTAGTTATCTCGAAAATAACTTTGAGTTTAATAAGTTTCAAAGTTTTTGCGTAGTTGAAAAAATTAATTTAAGCCATGTGGAATTATAGATGAAGTCCTTAAATAGTGGTACTTTTCCACAATTTGAAAAAATATTTAATTTAATTTTTTTGTCAATACCACACTCAAACGAAGCTACTGAGAGGATCTTAAGTATAAACTTTGCTTTCTGGCGCAAAGAGAGATACCGGCTTCTAATTGAAATTATTTAAAGTGAACTTCATATTAAAAGTGATTTTAAAATGAAATGTATAGAATTCTTTGACTATTTAAACAATGAAGATGGAAATGATCTCATTATTGCTATTCAAAACATATGTATAAAATAACTAGCTTATACCCGCGGGTTTCACCCGCACTTTTATACAAATATAGATTTTATTTCTGTGCCCATTTCGTTATAGCTCGTAATTTTTTAAGCGAGTTAAGGTATTTAGGCCGTTTAAAACTATGAAATTATAAGATCTCGTCTGCGCGCTAGGCATACGAAAGATATCAATCCCTCTAAGTTTACCTTAAAATGGTTCCAGGTATACGACGCGTAAACATGTAACCTTCTTGGAGGTGCTACGGCGGGTTCTAATATTTCCAACTCAAATTTAGTAACCTGGCCTTGATAAAATACCACTTCTCATTACTGTAGCAAATGCCTCAAGAGAGCTAAAGGAAATTTTTTCTATCAGTATGGCATTATAAAATAAATCTCCATAACAAATTTAAAATACTTCCAAAGATTTTCTATCCTTCCAGAGATATGTATTAAGAAATTTTTAGTATGTATGGGAGGCGACATGCCTTTTTTAATAACTCACATTTTTTCCATGAGCAATTGAAACATTTTGTATACACAACTCCATACCAAGTTCCAGTATTCTTCCACAAACACTTCCAGGGATATGTGGCAAGAAAAAGTCAATTTGCACAGAAAGTGCCACGCCCCTTTTTCTTATAACCCTAATCTTCTTTCATGAATTTAGAATTGATTTTACATACCCCAGTACCAAGTGCAGTACTCTACCATGAACACCTCTAGAGATATGCAGTATAAAAGTAAATTTGTACGGGAGGTACCATGCCCCCTTTTCGAATAACGCAAATTTTTCTCCATGAGTATGGAATTAATTTTGTATACACATCTCGGTGCCAAGTTCCCGTCCTCTGCAATACACACCTCCAGAGATATGCAGCATACAAAAATCAATTTGCATGGGAGTTGCCACATCACCTTTTCCAATAACTCTCATTTTTATTCAGGAGTATGGTATTAGTTTCACATACATACATACATATGTATTTCCATACCAACCTTGAGTACTTTACCCCAAACATTTGAAGGGATATGCTATATGAAACTTTCAGTCAGTATGGGAGGTGCTACGCCTCTTTTCCAAAAACGTCCATTTTTCTCCGTCAATATGAACATGATTTCACACAGTGTTGGAAAACTGTTAATCTGATTACCGATTAAAATGTTAATCGCGTTTGACGATTAAAATTAATTAGTCGTTATCAACTGTACGATTAATGATAACATTTTTTGAATCGTTAATCGCTGGCTGCGATTACGTTTAATTAATTTAAAACATTAATCGTTAATCCAATTAAAAATAAAATCTGATTAATTTGTCTAGTTTGTCCGAGTTTGAAACCAAACACCAGTTATAGTAATTATTTTGTGTTTTAAGCTTATAAAAAGCACATAATATAAACAAATTAAAATTATTGTTATTAGTAATACATAAACTGGGAACTTTTACAAACCTAGTTTGTAAAACGCTTGTTGGTATATATCTTAATGAAAATGCACACCAAATTGCTTAGATGGATGAGGAAACCCGACTTAGCCATTCCGGATTAACTTGCTTTGTGTGCACAGGGAAATTCCAGCATAACTTAATTAATCACCAAACCTACTTGATCAAATTAAGAGTTAATGATTAAAAATTAATTTTTTAATCGCGGTCACGATTAACTATTTAGTCAGATTAAAATTAATCATGATTAACTGTAATCAGATTGAACTTAATCGTATTAACTAACTGTTTAAAACATCAATCGATTAATGCCATCATTGATTTCACATAGATATCACTATACCAAGTTTCAGTTCTCTCCCAAAAATACTTCCAGAGATTTGTATGTAATATGAAAATTCCAATTTGTATGGGAGGGGCCTTGAGTTATCGGACTTACTTTCAGTCTAAGACCATCCTTCCGAAATCCGTAGTAAGTGCACTAAATTTCGTTCTGATCGGAAAACCGGTTAAGGAAGTAGCCTGTTTTTCAATCCAGGTCATAAACCATCTTTGAGCAAAATTTCATTTTCAAACAGGTGGCAATTCTTAAAAAAGTAGCCTATTTTCCAGTCTAGGTCATAAGCTATCTGTGTGCAAACTTTCATGCAAATGAGTTCAGTCATTTACGCGTATTAATTTAATTAAACTTTCCTAATACGTGATAACTTAAAATAGTAGCCTATTTTCCAACATAGGTCATAAGCTATCTCTGTGCGAAATTTCATGCAAATCTGTTCAGTCGTTTCCGCGTATTAATTTAATTAAAACTTTTTTAACAAGTGGCAACTCTTCCAAAAAAATAGCCTATTTTCCACTGTAGGTCATAAGCTATCTGCTTGCAAAATTTCATGCAAATCCGTTCAGATTTTGATTGTATTAATTTAATTAAACTTTTTTAGCAGGTGGTAACTCTTAAAAAAAGTAGCCTATTTTTCAACCTAGCTCATAAGCTCTCTGTGTGAAAACTTCCATGCAAATCAGTTTACTCATTTCCGCGTATTAATTAAATTAAACATTTNAAAATTTCATGCAAATCCATTCAGTCGTTTCCGCGTATTAATTTAATGAAACTTTTTTAGCAGGTGGCAACTCTTAAGAAAAGTAGCCTATTTTCCACTGTAGGTCATAAGCTATCTGTGTGCAAATTTTCATGCAAATCCATTCAGTCGTTTCCGCGTATTAATTTAATGAAACTTTTTTAACAGGTGGCAACTGTTAAAAAAAATAGCCTATTAACCAATCTGGGCCATAAGCTATCTGCGTACAAAATTTCATGCAAATCCGTTCAGTCGTTTCCGCGTGATGATTTCCCAAACATCAAAACATACAAACTTTCACATTTATAATATTAGTAAGATAAGATAAGATAGTAAGATTTATTGTCTTCTGTGTATAATGATGTGTACAATCATGTTAAAATGAATAACACTTTTATTTTTTTATGAACTACATTTTATTTATATACCAAAATATTGTTAAAGACAAGTACTCTGGCGTTTTAAAGTATTATCTGTTACTCATATTAATAATTTTGTTTGAACAAAAATGTACTGATTTTTTTAACGTGAAAAAGTCTCACGCACTGATTTCGTGCATAAAAAATCTGGCAACCCTATTGGCACTAATATTGCGATATTTCATTTAGCTTGTGTATAAGTAAAAAAAATTCAACTTTTCAAGCTGGTGTCAACTCCTTTAAAAGTATTTTCAAACTAAAATCTTTTCATCGTCTAGCATTGTGATACATATTTCAATTAATGGATGAATTAAGTTGAATTTGATTTTTTAAGCATATGGAAACTCTCCTAAATACAGTACACAAATAAATTATTTTCAAACCCATTTCGATTGATAACCATCCTTTGAGCATCCATTAAAATTATTAAATAATCTGAATTTAATCTTTTTAGCTGGTGGCAACCTTATTCTATTACAGTAAACAAATTCTTAATGTTCAATTTAAAGATTTATTAACATTCGTTCGTTTGATGCCCATATTTTAAAATTTCACGTAACTTGGGTATAATTAAACTAAATACAACATTCAAATTAGGCGGCAACCCTCTTCAAAATATTTGCAAACTACTAGCAAACAGATACCTTATTCACTTACCAAATTATTTTAATTAAAATTTAATTCGATTTTTTAAACATGTGGCAACCCTCCGACACCATTTTCAAAACCATTTCGGTTGATATTGTAACAATAACCTTATTGAACATCCACACCCTAAGTCCATTAATTTGGCACCTCACTTTTGAAAATCGAACGAATGGTGCGGATCTGAGGGCATTGAATATTAAATAATTTTAGTTTAATTACACGGTGCTACAAAAAAAATCATGAAATACTCCCGAAACAAAACCTAGTGTAGGTTGCAGCTATGGTCGAGTACAACGTGAAAATAGGTCCCGTATAGTTTCTGAACCCTCCATTTTTTCCATACCAAAAAAAAGAGTTATTTTCGTACTTGATGACGGTGCTTACCAGCTCAATGTGTATATCAAATTTGGTCGAGACCGATCAAGTAGTTTTTGAGATACGCATATATGATATAAGTGGGCGGTGCCACGCGCATTTTCCTAAAATTTTATGAGAAATAAATTTTTTGCTTAAGAGCCATTGTATATATCAATTTTGAGTAAATGTTGATGAACTTCTTAGCCACAACAATGGTTCAGTGCATGCCGGCCTTATATACGAGCCTCTAAGAAATCGCCTCATAGGAGAAACTGCAGCAAAATTACTCCTTTTGAAATACAATATGCGCCTTTTGAATTTTGACTAATAGGTTATAACACTGTATAGGTTAAGCACTCGTTCAATGTTCTAATAACTTACAAAATTTCTAAGTAATAAAAAATATTTTTCCTAACATTCGCATTCGCGACTGTGAAATATATGATATTCGAAACATCCCTAATACACAGATATAAATTCAAGGCCGTATTTTTGCTTAAATTGCTTAACTTCGACAATTTGTATGCAATTGCATTGGAAGAGGTATCAATTTGTTTGGAAATAAATGCTATTTTAGATAAATACCACATATTTGGTAACTTTCATAGAAATTAGCGATGATCAAAGTTCAAAAAATTAAGAAAAATAGGGGATGATTAAAATTTAACCGAAGAAAACTCCCAAAAATCTAAGTCTAACAATATATTGTTGTCAGAGACTGAAAATAAAAGTTATTTTACAATTTTTGACATCAAAAAGGCAAAGTAAAAAAATTATGCTATAACTTTTTAAAAGGTACCATTAGACTCATCTCACATTGTAATTTGTGATTCCTCCATGACTTTTAAAAATCTGACTTTAATCATTTTGGGCAAATAATACCGATTATATCTGCTTTTTATTTTTTTAAGGCAAAAATAAAAGTTAAAATTGGCCTTTTATTTTTTTGAGCAGAAAATAATCGGTAATTGTTGCCTTTTAATTTCTTCAGGCAAAAATAGAAGTCAAAGTTTCAAATCAAGTATTCCAGAGCTATGTATACTCGAATTTAATAGTTTTAAAGCTCCTATCTGGATTCTAATAACTCCCTAATACACAAATATCAGGGTTAGATCAAATCTAAATATGTATTCTTCTTCTTTTTTGGCGCTGTAACCGCCTAAGCGATTTTGGCCGGGTTCAGCAAAGCACGCCAGTCGTTTCTCCTCTGTGCCAGCTGACGCCAATTGGAAACGCCAAGTGAAGCCAAGTCCTTCTCCACCTGATCTTTCCATCGCAGTGGGGGCCTCCCTCTTCCTCTGCTACCACCAGCGGGTTCCGAGTTGAATACTTTCAGAGCTGGAGCGTCGGTGTCCATTCGAACGACATGACCAAGCCAGCGGAGCCGCTGTATTTTAATTCGCTGCACTATGTCCATATCGTTGTAAAGCTCATACAGCTCATCGTTCCATCGTCTGCG